GCCTAAGTCATGACAGAATGAAAGGGTATAAGGTGGCAGGATGGAGAGGGACTGGGAAATAGGGTGTTGAAGAGAAGGGGAGGGAAGACATTTTGGTGTTAGTAAAGGTGACATGTTGGGCTTCAAGTTTCTGTCTTATGTCAGGGAGGAAGCAACAGCCTAAAACTCAGCCCAATCCCAAATCCCAGGCTTGTCGCATTCAGAAGGAACCACGAGTTTATGCAGCAGTTATGTTTTCTTCTGGAACCATTGTGGGATGTAGTTCTCACACCCTGATTTGTTGTTGGTGTTGTCTGTGAAGAAATGAGGTACTGAAGCATTTCTTTAAGGAGGCAGTTACTAAGGGCTCAAGTTTGGAGTCAGACAGACCTTTGCTCAAGTTTTGGCTCTTCATTAAGTTTCTGACCTGCCCTCATTTATTTACCTTCCTCTAGCCTCAGTTTCCCTGCCTATGAATAGGGATGATAAAGGCAGTCAGAACTGTTGTGAAAATTAAATAGATAAAAACATTTAGCATAGTCTCAGGCACATAGAAACACTCAGCAGATAGGCTGTGATATTTCTCAGTATCCCATTGTTATATCCTGTTGTGAAAAATGTTGCTGCCTAGTTCTTTAAGCCACTGGTCTTTGGAGTGGTTCTCAGGTGGTTTTTATCATGGAGAAATGAGTAAGAGTTTTCAGAAACTACACTGTCTAAAAAATACTACTTTTTGAAGTTATACCCAGCAAGAGTCTCTTCATTGCAGTCCACCAGGAAAAGGAAAAACAATTTTATGATACTTTACCTAAATTTTGAGATTATCCTTTTTGTTTCTGGAGAATATTGCAGGTTACAAAGTGCTTCTTTCTCTCCTTTGTAGGCAGTTTGGAGGAGCAGTGGTACTTAGAAATCATTGATAAAGGCAGTGTCTCCTGCCCTACCTGCCAGGCAGTGGGGAGGAAGACCATAGAGGGTTTAAAGAAACACATGGAAAACTGCAAGCAGGTTAGATATTTTGGTGTTTCATAACTGTTATGATTTTTAAATCCAAACTTTAGACCTCTTTTGCTGTGTTGGATGTGCTGGTTATAATGGATGAAAAGCAGCATTGTGTAATAAAGGAAACATAGGCTTTGGATCTGACAGTTAGGTTTGAATCTTTTCTTAGCCACATACTAGTGTGGCATTTAGCTTTTTATGTGTGGACCTCAGCTTCATTTGTAAAATGGAGAAAATATAATAAATGCAAAATAATAAAAATATAGTCCAGGAGAGGATAAGAAAGAAGTAACACATGGCCAAGTGTCTAGCCCATGACTTGGCAAATACTGGCATTCAGTAAATGGTAATTCTTACTATTTTAAAAGTGAATTGCCTTTATTTTGCCCTTAAGGACATGACACTGGGTTTCTGGGATTTTGAGGTTTATTGACTGTTGAGTTTGAGAAATAAAGGAGACATAGACAAAAGCATTTGAGTAGGACTTTGTGTCATTCTGTCTCTCTGTGGAACAACCTAGCACTGAGCAGTATTTTTCCTTCTAGGAAATGTTTACTTGTCATCATTGTGAGAAACAACTTTGTTCACTGGCAGGGATGAAGTATTACATCATGGCAAATCATAATAATTTGGTAAGAGTGTCTTCTGCCTTTGTGAGTGTTTGGGTGGGTGGGTGGGTGGGTGTGTGTGTGTATGTGTGTGTGTGTGTGTGTTTTGAGATGCAGTCTCACTCTGCCACCCAGGCTAGAGTGCAGTGGCGCAATCACTGCAACCTGTGCCTTCCAGGTGTGCCTCCTGGGTGCAAGCGATTCTCATGCCTCAGCCTCTTGAATAGCTGGGACTACAGATGTGTGCCACCAAGCCTGGCTAAGTTTTTGTATCTTTAGTAGAGACTGGGTTTCACCATGTTGGCCAGTCTGGTCTCGAGCTCCTGGCCTCAGGTGATCCACCCGCCTCAGCCTCCCAAAGTGCTGGGATTACAGGCATGAGCCACTGTGCCCAGCCTGGATGTCTTTTACTTACGTGAGTGTAGATATCTCAGTGCAGATAGCTCTTGGATTTTATAAGGGTATGAATAAGAGTTATGCACAATGAAACCTTTGTAGTGGATCCATAAATATTTGTGTGTTTAGGTTAGCTCTAAAGGTTTATGTTCTGGGAGGTAGAGGCTCAGAACTCTTATTTCCATTATATTCACTTCCTTTGTCCAGGAGAAGATGGAGAAAGCCAGGAGTCAGATAACTTGGGCTTCCTCAGCACCAGCTCAGCTGCTAGTCTAATCCTTGATTCTCCTCTGATATTTTTTCCCGTGTCTCTTTTCCATGAATCATCTGCTTGTTTACTTCTCTTGATTTCTAGCCCATTTTGAAAGCCAGAGATGAAGTAGATGAGGCAAGTGAGAGGGAACGGCTCCGAACAGTTCTTTTTTTTTTTTTGAGACGGAGTTTCGCTCTTGTTACCCAGGCTGGAGTGCAATGGCGCGATCTCGGCTCACCGCAACCTCCGCCTCCTGGGTTCAGGCAATTCTCCTGCCTCAGCCTCCTGAGTAGCTGGGACTACAGACACGCGCCACCATGCCCAGCTAATTTTTTGTAGTTTTAGTAGAGACGGGGTTTCACCATGTTGACCAGGATGGTCTCGATCTCTTGACCTCGTGATCCACCCGTCTCGGCCTCCCAAAGTGCTGGGATTACAGGCTTGAGCCACCGCGCCCGGCCCGAACAGTTCTAAAGAGACTGGGAAAGCTCAGGTGCATGTGTGAGGTAGGAGCCCATGGACACAACTCCTTCTCCCTGAATTCTTGGGTCAATGTCTTTCGTTCTTCTTTTCCATTTCTTCTCTTCCTCATTGTAGACTTCCTAGTTGTGTACTATCTTGGGCTCTTGAACTCATTAATAGTTCTTTATTTTCTTCCTCATTTTAAAAAATTTATTTTTCTCCCCTTTCCCTTTGTTTGATGGAGTTTCCTTACCATCCTTTCTTTAATGTGATGAAGAGGATCCCAGTAACCCCTCACTGTGCTGAACTGTGGTACATATTGCTGGGTATTTGATTGGGATGGGATTGGATCACAGACCAAGGAGGAAGCTCTGATGTAAAGTAGATGCACAGTTATAGTTTATCAAGGGCTGACCAAGCTGATTCAAAATCATGCTTGGTCATAGCAGGATGACCAGAGACAAGGAAGGGTTGTGCTGATAGGAGATGTTGGAGAGAGTCTACCGAAATCAGAGGGCCTGTTTGTATTTTGTGGTGGTGAGTACTTTATGGTTGTTTAGAAATTTAGCGATCATGTCCAAAGATGTAAGATTATAGTTTAGGCTTCTCTCCTGTGTTCAGAGTTGCTCCAGTAGCTTCACCAGCATCATGGGATATCTCTACCATGTCAGAAAATGTGGCAAAGGGGCTGCAGAGCTGGAAAAGATGACCCTGAAATGTCACCACTGTGGAAAACCATATAGGTCGAAGGCTGGACTTGCGTATCACCTGAGGTCAGAGCATGGGCCTGTGAGTACTGATCCCTTTCTATACCCTGGTTGGGGATGTATTTTGTGGTGAGTCCTTACCCCCCTCTAACTTCCCATATGTGTTTTGTTCCTCATTTGAATCCTCTTTTAATCTCTGAATGCTTGTGCTCTCTCTTCTTTGTTCTTTTTTGTCCTTTTCTTATTTCTGCCTTTTGAACATTATTAAGTTAGGTAAATCAAAATTCAAAGTATAGTCCAGGCAGAAGTAAACTCATTATTATATATTTTATATTTATATATTTTATATATACATTTTTTTTTTTTGAGAGACAAGATCTTGCTCTCTCAGGCTGGAGTGCCATGGTGGGATCATAGCTCACTACAGCCTTGAACTCTTGGGCTCAGCCATCTTCTTGTCTCAGACTCCTAAGTAGCCAGGACTACAGGCTTGTATCACATGCCCAGCTAATTTTTTTTTTTTAATTTTTTGTAGAGATAGGGCTCTCATTATGTAGCACAGGCCAGTCTTGAACTCCTGGCCTCAAGCAATCCTCTTATCTTGACTTCCCAAAGTGCTGGGATTATAGACATGAGACACTGTGCCCAGCCATTCATTAATTTGTTCGTTCATTCATTCATTCATTCATTCATTCATTCGATAGAGTCTCCCTCTGTTGCCCAGGCTGGTGCAGTAGCGCAATCTTGGCTCATTGCAACCTCCACCTCCCAGGTTTAAGCGATTCTCTCACCTGAGCTTCCCGAATAGTTGAGATTATAGGCATGTGCCACTATGCTAAGTTTTGTATTTTTAGTAGAGACAAGGCTTTACCAAGTTGTTCAGGCTGGTCTTGAACTCCCTATCGCAGGTGATCTGCCCACCTCAGCCTCCAAAAGTGCTGAGATTATTGATGTGAGCCACTGTGCCTGGCCTCGTGCACATTTTAAAAATTAAAGGCATTCCCCTGTAGTTAGAACTTTTATGGGCATCTCTCCAGCAGAGTTTGCAGTGAGCCGAGATGGTGCCACTGCATTCCAGCCTGGGTGACAGAGCAAGACCCTGACTGACTCAAAAACAGAAAAACAAAAAGGTTGTTGTGTTTTCTTTTTTTAAGATAGGGTCTCGCTCTATCACCCAGGCTGGAGTGCAGTGGCGCCGCCTTGGCTCACTGCAAACTCTTGCTTCCTGGGCTCAAGCGATCCTGCCACCTCAGCCTCCCGAGTACCTGAGATTACAGGCACGTGCCACCGTGCCCATTTAGTTTTTGTATTTATAGTAGAGATGGGTGTTTGCCATGTTGGCCAGGCTTGTCTTGAACTCCTGGCCTCAAGTGATCTGCCTGCCTCGGCCTCCGAAAATCGTGGATTTACAGGCATGAGCCACTGCACCCAACAACAACAACAAAAAAGATTTTTATTCCTGAAATATCACAGGGGGAAAAAAAAGAATAAAAAAAATATTTTTATGTGAAAATAAATTTTAATTTCTCTTGGGTAAATACTTGGGAATGAGATTGCTAGGTCATATGGATGAATGTATATTTAACTTCATAAGAAACTGCTGCACTGTTTCCCAAAGTGGCTGTGCCATTTTGCGTTCCCACCAGCAAAGTATGAGAACTCCAGTTGCTTTGCATCCTTGTCTACATTTATTATTGGCACTTTTTTTTGATCCATTCTAATAGGTATGTAGTAGTATTTTACTGCAGTTTAAATTTTCATTCCCCTAATGACTAACAACGCTTAATGTTGTTCACCATCTTTGCATGTGCTTATTGGTGATTTGTATGTCTTTAATGAAGTCTCTGTTGAAATCCTTTGTTCATTTTGTCGGGAGGATTTTTGTTGTCTTATTAAGCACCTAAACTTCAGTGTGTAAGTTCTAATGAGTCTATCCTTGGGCCAAACTTGCGAGGTGTGAATTCTTCTGCATCTAGTCCAGAGCCACCACTTCAGTGTGTGCATTCTATTGAGTATAATTCTAGGCCAGATCCACAAAGTGTGAGTTTTTCTGAATCCATTCTGGGGCCCAAACTTCAGTGTGTTGATCCTAATGGGTGCAGCGCTGGGTCAAATTTGCAAGGTGTCAATTCTTCTGCATCCACTCCAGAGCCACCACTTCCATGTGTAAATTTTATTGGGTGCAATCCTGGGCTGAACTTGCAAGGTGTCAGTTCCTCTGCACCCATTCCAGGGCCAAAACTTCAGTGTGCGAATCCTATTGGGTGCAACCTAGAATCATATTTATAAGGCACAAAATCTCCTGAATTAACTCCAGTTTCAAAACTTCAAGGTATGAAGTG